CCTCCTCCTCGTTCCCTCCCTCCCTTTCTCCCTCCCCACCAGCAGGCTCCCTCCTCCTCCCTTCCGGTCTCTTCCTTTAACTATCCGCTTCCCCCAGCCCCCAACACTAGTCTCTCTCCACCCACCTACCCCAATTTTTTACACACCCCTCAGCCTAGCCCTGTTCCAGCAAGGGAAACTGTGGAGTCCCTTTGCAAAATGAAAGGATCTAGAGAACAACATGGGAATGGACTGGGGTCTTGCTTCAAAATCACCATGACACAATTATTTTTTCACCTCCAAAGGAATAGTCTTAGCTATTTCTTCTCCAAGAGAGGAAAAATAATCCTAAAGAAAGCAATACAAATCTGACTAAAGCCATTATCAAATAAAGTACACAGAGCAGTCAAGCTAACCTCTAGCACGCCCCCCACCCCAATTAACACAAACTCTCCACTCCTCCCTAACCAACTCTTAAGGCCGTGGCTAGTTTGGAGCAGGACAACTATAAGAAAAATAATAAATAATTCATAACAAGCATTGATTCAGTGTTCATTCTGTGCCAAGCACTGTGCTAAGTGCTTTGGATAAATTATCTCACTTTTTTCCTTCCTAACTGCTTTGAAGGTTGGTATTGATATTTAAATTTCCCAGGTTAAGAATATGTTGCTTTGAGAGGCTGTGACCTTTCTAAATCCTAAAAGCCACTAAGTGGCAGAGATGACAACAGAATCTGGGTCTGACTTGACATCCCAAACTCTAAGGCACAGAAAGACAGATGATTTTTTCTAATATCATCACCATTTCCAGGACTTAATATAGAGAAGGGTAGTTAGTCATAACTATCAACTAAACCCTTCTCCCCCAAGTGGGATGCCACAAACTGATTCACCCACCTACACAGAATGAAGACCCTAACTTTTCAGACAAATACAATACTGTTTCTTGTCCCTTTTCCTCAGTTTGGGGACCGGAGTGGGCTGTTAGTGTAAAGGGATGTCAAGGATGGTCTGGTGTGTTTCCCAACTTACAACTCCTCTCCTGGGGGCAGCTGTCTTGCAACCACTCCCACTTCAACTCTAGATGGGGAGGGGAAGGTTTAGGCCATGCAGCAGGTGGAAAAGTAAAAAGACTTCTAGAAGGCTCTTTCAAGGGTAAAGGGGGCTTGGAGGGGAAGCTCTTCTGTGACAATCTAAAGCAAAGTGACCCATGGTTCTCTCAGCCCAGCAAAGAAAGGGACAGTCTTTCAGCAACACCACACCCATACCCCTCCCCCTCACAAAAATCCAGGCCAGGGTTTCCCACCTGCAGGATGCTAAGGCCAAGTGAAGGGAGAAGGGAAAGAGATGGTACGGGACTGGAACTGGACTCGGGTTAGAGGTGGGAGGGAATAGAAGGGGGAGGAGACCTCAGTGCCTCGTAACCATCCCGGGGCACGTGCACCGGTGACATCATCCTAGGCCACCTCTAACACAGGCCTTTGACCCCTGTGGCTACCGCTGGCTAAGCTTCCTGGGAAATAGCCTTAGGAATTCTGGGAACCTAAATAGGAGAGGGGGGAACCCAGGTGTCCTGTCATTATCTCTGTTAGTCGGATCCTAAGAATTTACGCCCCTTGCCTGCCTCTTCTCCGCCTCCAGCCCTGACCTCCCAACCTACATTTTTGACTGGAGTTTGGACACGCCCCTCAGAGATACTGCGCCTTCTCTATCGTGGACGCGATCTCTGATGGGGGCAGAAGTTGGGGCACAGGCCACCGGGTCCTGCGGGGCGCTGTTTCCTATCATCGGGATCCGGGTTCCCCCTCCAGCCGACAGTCACAATCTCTCTAGGTCCCCAACACTCCCGCCCCTCCCGCGCTGTTTCAGGGCGGAGTCTGTGGAGTTGAAATCAGGACACTGCGAGAGGAAGAGTTATATAACCCTGAGAAGGGAGAAAGGCGAGTGGAGACGAGGACAGATAGCCCGAAGGGAGCCAAGGGAGATGCAAAGAACTCCGGGGTGACTGAGGAGGAAACGTTAGGGATGGGATGGGCTTTAGTGCGTATCAAAGAGCGAAGAGTTGGCGTGACGGCC